CTCCTGCCTCAGCCTCCCAAGTGCTGGGATTACAGGCGTGCACCACCACGCCTAGCCTGAGATTCTTAAAATTGAAGCCAGTCTGGGCAATTTAGCAAGACCTTGTCTCAAAATAAAAGACCTAGAGATATAATTCAGTGTAGAGTAGTTCTGAGTTCAGTCCTCAGTACTGTAGAAAAACAGACAATTTACCTAAGAGTAATCAAGTCAGTATTTTAGGGAGACACAGTTTATTTCTAGCAACTCTTTGCATATTAGAAATTAAATCTATTTTCATGCAGTCTGCCCTTTAACTGTAGTTTATTTTACAACAAAATATTACTAAGTAGGCAAATGTTGTAAGTGTGATAAAAGTGTGGTATGACAACCAGAGCAGGAACTCTGAAGCCAGACTGCGTGGACTCAAGCCCGCCTCGGCCCGGTCAGCCCTATGGCCCTGGGCAAGACCCAGTCACCCCTGGGCCTCACGCTCCTCTTTCTAGAATGACTGTTATAAGCATCCACCCAGAGTGTGCTGCGGAGACTGATGAGAGAGAGGGAGAGAGAGACAGAGAGAGAGAGATGTATAGATACAGTATAATTTTTTGCTTTATTTTTGAATTTTTTTTTTCCTAGTACCAGAAATCGAACTCACGACCTCGTGCTTGCCAGGCAGGCGCTGTGCCTCTGAGCTAAACCCCCAGCCCCTATTTTTGAATTTTGGATCTGGGCTGTGAGTTAAGAAGGCCTTTTACTCTCCCGAAAAACAAAAATATCTTTATATCTTATCTTTTTTTTTTTTTTAGAGGTAGGGTTTCTCTGTACAGTTCAGGCTGGCCTTGAACTCACAGCAAACCTCCTGCCTCAGCCTCCTGAGGGCTGGGATTATAGGCATGCCACCAAGCCCAGCTCTTATATTTTACTTTAACTAAGCTTTTTCCATTTTTTAAAACCCATTTTGGTCTTTCACTGCAGGTAAAATGTATTTAGGTACCCTGTCTGAAGCAGAGAGTCTAGATATGCTGGTTAATGAACATAAATAAAGCTTGTTGGTCCCCACAGTTTAGTAAAAAATCCATGCACAGCACACTGGCTTGAACTACCCGGTCCTCCTGTAACTCTGAGTGTGCCTTCTACAAAGAGCACCCGGCACTGCGGTTCCAGGGCTGGGCATCAAACCAGGGCCTCAGCGTGCTACGCAGATGCCTGCCGATGTGTGACACCCCCAGCCCCAGACAGCCTTTTGATTTTCTTTTTTTTGGTACTGGGAATCGAACTCAGGACCTTGTGCTTGCCAGGCAGGCACTTGTGCCGTGGAGCTACATCCCCGGCCCCAGAGAACCTTTTAAAACAGACAAATTTTGCTGCAAGACAGATCGGAAGGGTGGAGGAAAAACATAAAAGTCTCTCACTTCTCTACTTTCAAAGAAAGCACAGATCCTAGAGCTTGAGGAGCCACCTCTGCATTCTGGGAGCCTTGTTCTTGGTTTCTCAGATTCTGCTAGGAGAATGAGTCTCGGAACTGTCAGGCAGAGCAGGGGGAAGTAACAGCTTTGCTCCTTGTGTGCCCCTCCCCAGGAAACGTCATGACCCTCAAGTTTCTGAGTGACGCTTCCGTGACGGCAGGGGGTTTCCAAATCAAGTACGTCGCCGTGGATCCGGGGTCCAGATCCAGTCAAGGAAAAAATACCAGTACCACATCTACTGGTAGTAAAAACTTTTTAGCTGGAAGATTTAGCCATTTATAAATCAAACAAAAGATGTTCCAAATACGCAGTGTTTATGTTTGCATCTCACTTTTGTATTATTATTGTTAACATTTATTTATTATTTTCTAAATGTGAAAGTAATACCTAATTTGGTGAGAAATGGAAAGACATAGAAAAATTCAAGTGCAAAAATAAAATCTCCTAATCCCACCATACAGAAATAACTAGTGCTAATGTTTATATATTCTTTTTTCATTTTTCTACTTGTAGTGTATGTATATATGTATCTATATGTATTTGTATTTTAAATTTTGGAAAGTTCTCTCTGTACAGGTGTGCACCCGGGTTTTGTGATTTTTTTTTTAAACTTAAACTTTAAACTTAAGCACTTCCTAAATCATTGAGTATGCTACAGAAAACATGACCTGAAGCTGGGCGTGGTGGTGCATGCCTATAATCCCAGCACAGCACTCGGGAGGCCGAGGCAGGAAGATCAGGATCGTTGCGAGCTCGAGGCCAGCCTGAACTGCATAGTGAGACCCTGTCTCAAAGAGACAAAAAAATTAAAAAGCATGATTTGAATAGCTGTAGAATATTCCACACTTTATTTAAAACCATCTCTGTTGTTGAAATTTTAGATTGTTTTCAGAAATATTGCGGCAATAAATACCCTTGGACATACATATTCATATAGGTCTTTAATGTGGGGCACAAGGACCTAGAAGTAGAATTACTGGACTAGAGACAAATTAAAATTTTCTTTTCTTCTTCTTCTTCTTCTTTTTTTTTTTTTTTTTTTGGTGCTGGGAATTGAACTCAGGACCTTGCATCTGCCAGGCAGGCACTTGTGCTGCTGATACAGATCCCCAGCCCCTAGACAGGCCTTCTTTATGTAGTTCAGGCTGGCCTCCAATTCATGATCCTCCTGCCTCAGTCTCCTGAGTGCTGGGATTACAGGTGTGTGTCACCACACCAGCCCTAAATTTTCTTTTTGAGAACAATGAGACATCAGCATGGTTTGATCTCCCTCTGTGCTATGTAAACCAGGATGACCAGAAGCCCAGGCTGGCCTCACGTTCTAATTTCCTGCCTCAGCCTCTTAAGTAGCTAGAATTACAGGCCTATGCCACCACACCCAGCTTTTATTGTAATGTTTTATATTGTATTGTACTGTGTATTTTTGGGTTTTTTTTCTGTGTTGTTGTTTTCTATGGTTTTTTTTTTGTTGTTGTTGTTATTGTTTTTTGAGATAGGGTCTCACTTTGTATCCCAGCCTGGCCTCAAATTCTCAGTGGTCCTCCTGCCTCAGCCTCCCGAGTGCTGGGATTACAGGTGTGCACAGCTATTATAGGCAGCTGAGTTAGATAGAAATATTTCAGGCAGTCAGGAGCCAGTGCAGAAGACGGGACACCGTGCAAATGGAGAGCAGGGCTCCTCGGGTACGGGCCAGACCTCAAGACAAAATATGAAACAGAAGGCCCGCACACCTCCCTAGGGTGGCCCTCAGGGACTGATACTCTAAAAGGGCAGCGATCACCTTGAAGAGTCACTGGCCCAACCCCCCAGGAAAGGCCCCTGTTGTATATCCATGCCCGCGTGCCACGTGACTCGCTTCCCATTTCATCCCGATTTCATCAATTTTACGTGAACAGCTACGTTTGTCATCTTACTGGCTGGCCGTACTTTCGTCCCGCTTCTTACCTACCTTGCAATTTCCCATTTTCACCCCCTCATTGGACCCGCTTCACCTCGTGGTTTTGCTCTATAAAAGTCCCTAGAAAAGACAGGTTCACGGGCAACCCACTCTGGCCCCCTTTCTGCCCCTCTCTCCAACAGAAGCTTTCTTTCCCTCAATAAATATATTCTGCTCTTAGCCTCTGTTGTTCCTAAAATTCATTCTTCGATTTTAGAGAACATGAACTCGTCCCAGATATCGTTCAGGTTGGGAGTTCCTTTCCCCTATATCACCACCACACCCAGCTTTTTTCACCTATTTAAAACACGTACACATGCTGGGCATGGTGGCTCATGTCTGTAATCCCAGCACTGGGTAAGCTGAGGCAGGAGGATCGCCGTGAGTTCCAGGCTACAAAGTGAGTTCAAGGCCAGCCTGAAGTACATAGAGAAACCCTGTCTCAAAAAGACCCCTCCAAAAATAAAAACACACACGCACAAATAATATTTTCTCAAACTGATTCATAAGAAATGATTATATTAGGTATATTGGTCATGTCTATCACATACGTTGCAATCTGATTTTATTTAGTTATTTATTCTTGGCTTTTTGAGACAGGGTCTCACTATGTAGCCCAGGCTGACCTCAAACTCGCAGTGATCCTCCTGCCTCAGCCTTGCAGCTTGCAATCTAATTTTAAACTTACAGTTTGCCTTTTGCTTTATGGTGTTTTTATTACATCTAAGATTAAATTTTTTTTTTCAAAGATTAAATTTTACACTGTCATACATATTTATTTTGCTGAGGTTTTTTTTTCTTCTTGTATTTATGTTTAGGAGTGTTAAAAAGCAAAATGATTTTAATGAAATTGGCTTAAAGCTCTACTTTATTTATTTTTTTTTTGTATTTTTGAGACAGGGTCTCGCTATGCAGTTCAGGTTGGCCTTGAGCTCACTTTGTAGCCCAGGCTGGTCTCAAACTCACAACGATCCTCCTGTTTCAGCCTCCTGAGTGCTGGAATTACAGGCGTGCGCCACCATGCCCCGCTGGATTTTTTTTGATAACGATTGAATTTTTGTTTTACTACTTCAACTATATAGAGGGCAAAATCCACAGTTGTTACTGTGCATATGAGAGGTAATGATCTCCAACCAATTAAATTCAATAAAAAAAATCGTATACCAAACACTATTCTAGACATTTGGCAAACACCAGAGAATCAAGTAAACAAAAAGTCCCGACTTGAGGAGTTTATGTTCTGGTAGAGGCAGAAAGATAACAATTAATATATATGATAAGGGGATAGGGCCATAGCTCAGTGATGGAGTGCATCCCCAGTGTTTGCAAAGATCTGAGTCTGATTCCTAACCACCACAAATTTCATATATAATATTTATAAAGAGAGATCAGAAATACCAGGTTATGTGCCAGCAGCAAAATACATCCTCTCCAGGACATGAAATCCGACTCCTGGAGGTAACAATTCAGTGAAGAAAAAAAGAAGTGGATCTCTAAGAATCGAAAGGCAACTGATACGGAAACTAGAAACTACAGAGAAGTTGGAGGGATGGAGCACAACACAGAGAAAAGACATGAAGCATCTGGAGAGCTGACCCTGGCTCCAAGGGGAGGGAAGCTCTCTGCACTCACACAGAGTAAGTCCATGGCAGGCCAGCAACCCCAGGGGCGCCAGCCCCTCAAAATCCACGGTTATTGTGAACTATAAACAGTATGGGGGCTGGGGATGTAGCTCAGCAGCACAAGTGCCTGCCTGGCAAGCGCAAGGTCCTGAGTTCAGTTCCCAACACCTAAATAAATAAATAGGTGGGGTGTTAGTCTGAAAGTAACTCTTTCCACATGACA